GTTTCACGGGAACTAATAAACAATATTGTAATAAAATGTGCATATTTTTCTTGAACATTTGTGTTTCTCTGTTGTGGGAATCAATGACGATTTGCATAATATCTCCCTTAATCCAACGTGGTGAGCAAAAATTGTAATTTGCATGATTTTGCGAGAGGAAAGGCGGTTATAATGCTCAACAAACAAACTATATTCATCTTTTCTGAGGTGATTTTACATGTTGATGTCCTGGGCCTATGACTAGAGAAGTGCAGTAAGTATAACAATGCAACAATGTTGTATAAATTGTGTACCGATACACCTGCTGAAGGACATTTAGTGAAAACATTGATGACATACCAATGTGTATAACCTAAGCAGCCATCCCCCAGACCAGACAAGCCTTTCACACATGTATTTTTACATGCTACAGTGGTTTCAGTATAAACCATTTTTCACACATGACCTACACTGTACGTCATTAAGTGCCCATGTTCAGTCACATTAAAGTGTCAAGTATCGTCAACAGAGCATGCTGTAAACTAAAGTGTGTCTTGTTAAATTAATGAGTAATGATATACAAGTCATTTTTGATCAACTGAGATTTGTATTTCATATTGCTATGTGGTTTTATACCTGAATTGTATACACTAGTGCATCAGTGCAGGAATTGCCTCGATCCTAAATTCTGCTACCTGATCCCAATATTAGTCCAAGAATGGGTCCCCATTTATAATAAAAATACATAGAATATATCGTCATTTCTTATACACTTTCTTTTCAAAACTCACTGTACAAATTACACAATCCTCTGAACTGTCATGCTGAAACTTTTGCACAACTAGTAATGTGGTGTTGGTATCTCTGTACAGACAACTTTTGACAGCATATGATTGGTATATTACAGAGTGTAGCAAAACGTTCCTTTAATTTTTAAAATGAGTGAGCTAAACAGGTGGTTGATGTGGTAGTCTAACTTTGTCTTTGGGTGACTCTATTCTTTATGATCCTGATACAGCTTTCGTGGCCCAAGCTTGTGAAGGCGTGTAAGCCGTACGACCAAGGGCAGAAAAAGCCATATCCAGTCCATCAAGTTATTATCATACACCTTGTAGGTGTAATTACAATTTTATCATGTTGTTACCTCAAACACACAACGTAATTTAGAATGACACGTTTTGTTTTAAGGATGAAAGCGTGCTGGGCCAGGCATAATACAGAAATTATTGCCCTGATGTGAGGGCGCACTTCCCATAGTGTTATGAAGGGGGGAATCCAAGGTATATGATAATGTTCCTGAATGTCTGGATTTTGGAATGGGCAATGTTATTTCACCTAAATTGGGTTTGTGATTGCATAACATGTTATTGAAGTACTTTTCACCTCAACGACATTTATTATACAACACCTTTTGAATCAAACCAGTTTATACCTAATCCATGTAAACACTGGCAGTAAGCCAAGAATTAACTGGCTCTGTATCAATTGACGGACTGCCGAGTACCTCCAACTGCTATCCTCAATCCATAGCCTGGGTCAAATCTAATGTGTATGGCTGTTTTATTTCCATTGTAACCTGGCAAACTCCTATAATATAGGCTATTTTAACATTATTTCCAATTATTTTCATCCAATTTATGTTAATTTTTCACTGAAATCATCATGTTCATATTTGTTAAATTATTTATGCTGATATTATTATTAAATCCTCAACTTGTTTTCAACTTTTATTGTGTTTGAAAATGTTTCAATATTTTCATTGTAAACAAACTTACAATCTATAGCATCCAAGCATGGACAGCAAGTACAGGTACAGGTAAAATCTATAGCATCCAAGCATGGACAGCAAGTACAGGTAAAATCTGTATTCATAGCAGCATCTGACAAAGCCATCATTTATGTTACATTATATGATTTCACAATAGAATCTAAGGCTTCTATTTTTTGTAGTTCACAAATATTGCAGCAACAAAAATCTTGAAACAAATTTAGCAGACCAAATATTTTTGCTATTTGTTGTTGAGAAGCGAATAAATTTCACATTCAGTCCAACATTATTTCTGATAAGGGTTGGACCATTTGTTTTTGAAGGGGGAGGTCAGCTCAGTGAAAGGCAAATTTTTTTTTTTTTTTTTTATGTGTTTGGAAATTTTTTTTTTATCAGTAGGTTTTTTTGCTTGCAAATTTTTAGGAGTTCATCATATCCAACATTTATTTTTCATTATCTTCAACGGTGGTAGAAAAGACTTGCTATTTTACTGCTATTTTATGTTTTTTTGACAAAGTGGCCTCAATTTCGACAAATTTGATCAAATCTCAAGACAAAACAGTCGGCCATTTTGGTTCAAATTTTGAAAAAAAATATGACGTGCACGTGTAACCCAATATACATGATCATCATATAAAGTTTGATTTAAATCGCCCTATTCAGCTTCAGGAAACAGTTCCAGACACGTTACAGACTGTGAATTTAAGATATTAAATAAAATGGCCGCCTTTTCGACAAATTTGATCAAATCTCAAAACAAAACATGGTGTTGTATTGTCTTGAAGTATAGTACCTATATACAAACTTTCAAGTGAATCAGGCATATCTTTCAGAGGAATCAGCACAAAAATTAAAAAAAAATGAAATGGCCATTTTGGACCGAATCTTGAAAAAAAAGTGACGTGCACCAATAACCCAATATGCATGATCACCATACAAAGTTTGATTGAAATCGCCCTTTTCACGTTTAAATATCAGAATTTAGCAAATTTGAGGGACAAAATGGCTGCCAGTCAGCCATATTTAATTGAATCGTAACGAAAATTGGCATATGTAGGTCATTATAGATTGTCTGTATACCAGGTTTGAACGAGATCGATCAAAGGCTGTCCGATAAATGAATCCAGAAGGACGGACGGAACCGTTTTCGGAC